CTTTGGTAGTTGTGGTGACAACAGAGGGCTTTGATGTGACAACTGTTGTTTCTCCTGGCTTGGTTGTTGTTTCTCCTGCCTTGGTTGTTGTTTCTCCTGGCTTGGTTGTTGTTTCAACAACAGGTGTGGTGGAAGCTGTAGATGGAGCAGTTGTGGTTACTGTTGGTGGTTTAGTTGTCTCACCAATCTTTGTTGTTGCTTCTGATATGGTTGTCTCTCCAGCCTTTGTTGTTCCTTTAGTTGTAGTTTCTGGTGCTTTGGTAGTTGTGGTGACAACAGAGGGCTTTGATGTGACAACTGTTGTTTCTCCTGGCTTGGTTGTTGTTTCTCCTGGCTTGGTTGTTGTTTCAACAACAGGTGTGGTGGAAGCTGTAGATGGAGCAGTTGTGGTTACTGTTGGTGGTTTAGTTGTCTCACCAATCTTTGTTGTTGCTTCTGATATGGTTGTCTCTCCAGCCTTTGTTGTTCCTTTAGTTGTAGTTTCTGGTGCTTTGGTAGTTGTGGTGACAACAGAGGGCTTTGATGTGACAACTGTTGTTTCTCCTGTTGGCTTGGTTGTTGTTTCTCCTGGCTTGGTTGTTGTTTCAACAACAGGTGTGGTGGAAGCTGTAGATGGAGCAGTTGTGGTTACTGTTGGTGGTTTAGTTGTCTCACCAATCTTTGTTGTTGCTTCTGATATGGTTGTCTCTCCAGCCTTTGTTGTTCCTTTAGTTGTAGTTTCTGGTGCTTTGGTAGTTGTGGTGACAACAGAGGGCTTTGATGTGACAACTGTTGTTTCTCCTGGCTTGGTTGTTGTTTCTCCTGTTGGTTGTTTCTCCTGGCTTGGTTGTTGTTTCAACAACAGGTGTGGTGGAAGCTGTAGATGGAGCAGTTGTGGTTACTGTTGGTGGTTTAGTTGTCTCACCAATCTTTGTTGTTGCTTCTGATATGGTTGTCTCTCCAGCCTTTGTTGTTCCTTTAGTTGTAGTTTCTGGTGCTTTGGTAGTTGTGGTGACAACAGAGGGCTTTGACGTGACAACTGTTGTTTCTCCTGGCTTGGTTGTTGTTTCTCCTGGCTTGGTTGTTGTTTCAACAACAGGTGTGGTGGAAGCTGTAGATGGAGCAGTTGTGGTTACTGTTGGTGGTTTAGTTGTCTCACCAATCTTTGTGGTTGCTTCTGATATGGTTGTCTCTCCAGCCTTTGTTGTTCCTTTAGTTGTAGTTTCTGGTGCTTTGGTAGTTGTGGTGACAACAGAGGGCTTTGACGTGACAACTGTTGTTTCTCCTGGCTTGGTTGTTGTTTCTCCTGGCTTGGTTGTTGTTTCAACAACAGGTGTGGTGGAAGCTGTAGATGGAGCAGTTGTGGTTACTGTTGGTGGTTTAGTTGTCTCACCAATCTTTGTTGTTGCTTCTGATATGGTTGTCTCTCCAGCCTTTGTTGTTCCTTTAGTTGTAGTTTCTGGTGCTTTGGTAGTTGTGGTGACAACAGAGGGCTTTGATGTGACAACTGTTGTTTCTCCTGCCTTGGTTGTTGTTTCTCCTGGCTTGGTTGTTGTTTCTCCTGCCTTGGTTGTTGTTTCTCCTGGCTTGGTTGTTGTTTCAACAACAGGTGTGGTGGAAGCTGTAGATGGAGCAGTTGTGGTTACTGTTGGTGGTTTCGTTGTCTCACCAATCTTTGTTGTTGCTTCTGATATGGTTGTCTCTCCAGCCTTTGTTGTTCCTTTAGTTGTAGTTTCTGGTGCTTTGGTAGTTGTGGTGACAACAGAGGGCTTTGATGTGACAACTGTTGTTTCTCCTGGCTTGGTTGTTGTTTCTCCTGCCTTGGTTGTTGTTTCTCCTGGCTTGGTTGTTGTTTCAACAACAGGTGTGGTGGAAGCTGTAGATGGAGCAGTTGTGGTTACTGTTGGTGGTTTAGTTGTCTCACCAATCTTTGTGGTTGCTTCTGATATGGTTGTCTCTCCAGCCTTTGTTGTTCCTTTAGTTGTAGTTTCTGGTGCTTTGGTAGTTGTGGTAACAACAGAGGGCTTTGATGTGACAACTGTTGTTTCTTCTGGCTTGGTTGTTGTTTCTCCTGGCTTGGTTGTTGTTTCAACAACAGGTGTGGTGGAAGCTGTAGATGGAGCAGTTGTGGTTACTGTTGGTGGTTTAGTTGTCTCACCAATCTTTGTTGTTGCTTCTGATATGGTTGTCTCTCCAGCCTTTGTTGTTCCTTTAGTTGTAGTTTCTGGTGCTTTGGTAGTTGTGGTGACAACAGAGGGCTTTGACGTGACAACTGTTGTTTCTCCTGGCTTGGTTGTTGTTTCTCCTGCTTGGTTGTTGTTTCAACAACAGGTGTGGTGGAAGCTGTAGATGGAGCAGTTGTGGTTACTGTTGGTGGTTTAGTTGTCTCACCAATCTTTGTTGTTGCTTCTGATATGGTTGTCTCTCCAGCCTTTGTTGTTCCTTTAGTTGTAGTTTCTGGTGCTTTGGTAGTTGTGGTGAGAACAGAGGGCTTTGATGTGACAACTGTTGTTTCTTCTGGCTTGGTTGTTGTTTCTCCTGGCTTGGTTGTTGTTTCAACAACAGGTGTGGTGGAAGCTGTAGATGGAGCAGTTGTGGTTACTGTTGGTGGTTTAGTTGTCTCACCAATATTTGTTGTTGCTTCTGATATGGTTGTCTCTCCAGCCTTTGTTGTTCCTTTAGTTGTAGTTTCTGGTGCTTTGGTAGTTGTGGTAACAACAGAGGGCTTGGATGTGACAACTGTTGTTTCTCCTGGCTTGGTTGTGGTTTCTCCTGGCTTGGTTGTTGTTTCAACAACAGGTGTGGTGGAAGCTGTAGATGGAGCAGTTGTGGTTACTGTTGGTGGTTTAGTTGTCTCACCAATCTTTGTGGTTGCTTCTGATATGGTTGTCTCTCCAGCCTTTGTTGTTCCTTTAGTTGTAGTTTCTGGTGCTTTGGTAGTTGTGGTGACAACAGAGGGCTTTGATGTGACAACTGTTGTTTCTTCTGGCTCGGTTGTTGTTTCTCCTGGCTTGGTTGTTGTTTCAACAACAGGTGTGGTGGAAGCTGTAGATGGAGCAGTTGTGGATACTGTTGGTGGTTTAGTTGTCTCAACGATGTTTTCTGTTACTTCTTGTGGGGTTTTCTCTTCAGCCTTTGTCACCTCTGAAATGGAACAAACCAATCATGTCATCACCTAAAATAAGGACCTTAATTCCATATGCATCGATATTTCTGAAAATAATATAGTTATCTAGCAATGTTCAATGAATTTCTGTACCTGCAGTTGTGGTTCTGGCTGTAGTGAATGTAAATGGGGTTGTTGTTGGGGCAACAGTTGTGCATGGGTAGGTTGTCCTTTCTATTGTCCCATTGGCCGCACACACAGCTTTCATGCAGCCTCCAATCCCATCAGTAGTGTCATAGATTATGTCCCCATAGTTGAAGTATTTTCCATCATAATAGCATTTACAGCCTGCAGAGTGAGAGTATCGAAATTTCAATTTGTTTTATTTATTTATCATGATGTGTTAATCTTTGAGCGTGTGTACCTACATACAGATATAAAATAGGTCATTAAAAAAATGACTTTCAAGTGAATTTATGTACTTACTCTTGACATCATAGTTGCACTTTACTCCAACCGTTGTACAGAGACTTTGAAATGAAAAAAAACATGGATATGTTATCACCATTTGGTCTGTAATCTAAAAAAAACAATGTTTTTTTGAACTACAAAATTACATTTTTTTTTTTGTAACATAAAGTAACAATGAGTAAAGTCTTTTACCTGTTCTTTAATAAAACAATGAGTAAAGTCTTTTACCTGTTCTTTAATATAACAATGAGTAAGGTCTTTTACCTGTTCTTTAATATAACAATGAGTAAGATCTTTTACCTGTTCTTTAATATAACAATGAGTAAGGTCTTTTACCTGTTCTTTAATATAACAATGAGTATGGTCTTTTACCTGCTCTTTTATACAGGGCTTGCCTGTATTAATAACTCAGGGTATATTTTGGGCTAGTCCAGTTTATTCCCTGGTGTATAAAACAGGTTAGCCCATTTTATACCCCCTTGGCCAGCTTAAACATCCTCCCCACGCACACACACACTCACTCAGAAACCAGCCCAATGACAGTCCTGTTTTGAACTCAGTCGTCTGGTTACATGATGTTAATTTAAATTGAAAAATACACACTCAGGTATTAAATTTGGATTTTATTCCTCATGCTAAAGACACAACTTGATCAACTAAAATACACAACTTAAACTGCTTAAATGCTGCACAAATCTCATCAAGTGCAGACCACATTGAAGCATTCCGAAATAATCTTACCTCATGGTACCTACATTCCCTTGTTCTAGCCCTGGGGTGGGGGTGGGGGTAGTACTACCCCACACCTCACCCCTAAACTTATCTCTTAAAGCTTTAAAATTTGGGTTTTTGCTTTTCTGAAGTCAGTACAATTCTTTTACTTTCAGTCTTTTCTTTTAGTTAATTAAAGATAAATCTGAGAACTTTGTAATCACTGTTTGTGGATGTTTCTCCAATTTCTAAATGTGAAATTTTATCTATTAAGCAATGATGAATTCGGTATATGAATTTAGACCTGAGTTACTGTATTCAGGAAATGCACAAAGAGGGATATTCTGGATAGGAGACTGTCAGGACGGTGGTGGCGGGGGGTGTGGGGGGAGGGGATTGGGACACAGGATTCTGACCCAGGGGTGTCTCAAAGTTTTCCGGGAAGGATAACCACAAAATCGCGATAGCGTTAGATTGGAAAGGCGAGGAAAAAACAACGAACATGTATAGAGCCACAACAGGCTTCCTAAACGAAATAATGCACTGAAATTGATGCACTAAACCACTGCTGCCAATCAGCTGACAAACTGAAAACATGAAACAAAAAACACAGGTTGCCAGGGAGACAAAAACACAAAAGGCTGGAGTTGCAACAAAACTATCCTGCACCCCCAGTTATACTCTGGGAGACAGGCAATGGAAATCTAATACACAAAGTTCTTGGTTGGTGTTTCTATAAACACACAAACAACTTGAGAATACGCAGGGAGAACCTCTCACTATCAGACAGAGGATGAAGAGAAATACAGAGACAAAAGCAGAGAAAGGGTAATTTTTGATTTTTTTGACTATAGTAGGCCCTATTTGTATTACTTTTGTGTCTCCATAATTGTATTTTCTTGTGTGTTATCCATTCACTAAGATACAACACAGGATTATACAATCAACCTCCTGCAACCTCTTCATGAAAAATCAGTAGGCCTACCCAAATTTCTAATATTTTCAATCAATCAGATTTATTTAATAGAAAATTGTGCAGTTTAGTCCTCAGAAGGTACAAAAATGTGACGAACAAAGGAACAGAACAAAACAAACATGCTTCAAATTCACAGCCTTTTAGACCTTTTTTTTCAGTACACATTCAGTACCCACTGAAAAAGGCTCCCCAACCCATCAGTTGAGAACTACTACAATAGCCCAACAAATGCAGGAGGGTCCTCAGATGACTTTTTGCCTTGGGCCCCCAAATGACTCAATCCGCCACTGGCTACTTTTCCTCCATTTCAAGAAAAAAAAAAGATTCAGGATTCAACTATTCTATGGATTTGGATATGGATTTCCATGGATTTTCCTTTCTTTCATGTTTAAGTCACAGACAATGATCGAATGGAAGTAGCTTTTTCCATTTGAGCTAGTCAGTGTAAGGCTACTGTCTCTAAAAGTTGTCCATTTTTTTATTTTCAGAATAGATTTTATGATTGAGACATACCAAGTGTCGCAGTTCTTTGATGGAACCTTTTCGCCCAGGTTGTAATGGTTGCCCATGTCGTCAAAGCAGCCACATTGGCTCCATGCAACACATTTCATGGAGTCTTCGTCAAAGTAGGGGTGGGTAATGGGACACTGTGGATAGCAGCCTGCAAACCCATCATTAGATTTTTAATCCTCAGAAGAAACACATATCATTTAATTGTTGCACTTAACGGTTTGTCCGTCTTTCACCCATCTACACACACAATTACATTTGGCCAGGCAGTGCACTCACATAATTTATACATGCTGAATGCTGAAAATCGTGGTTGAAGCATTTTTCTAAAATGTCATATGTTTTTGGAGGATCAACTGTTGACTTCAGTTATCAGGCCTGCTTGTGGTACACACAGTCTCTAAATGTACTATGGGAGGTAGAGCCTTCAGTTATCAGGCCTGCTCGTGGTACCTACAGTCTCTAAATGTACTATGGGAGGTAGAGCCTTCAGTTATCAGACCTGCTCGTGGTACAGTCTCTAAATGTACTATGGGAGGTAGAGCCTTCAGTTATCAGACCTGCTCGTGGTACAGTCTCTAAATGTACTATGGGAGGTAGAGCCTTCAGTTATCAGACCTGCTCGTGGTACATACAGTCTCTAAATGTACTATGGGAGGTAGAGCCTTCAGTTATCAAACCTGCTCGTGGTACAGTCTCTAAATGTACTATGGGAGGTAGAGCCTTCAGTTATCAGGCCTGCTCGTGGTACAATCTCTAAATGTACTATGGGAGGTAGAGCCTTCAGTTATCAGGCCTGCTCGTGGTACAGTCTCTAAATGTACTATGGGAGGTAGAGCCTTCAGTTATCAGGCCTGCTCGTGGTACAGTCTCTAAATGTACTATGGGAGGTAGAGCCTTCAGTTATCAGGCCTGCTCGTGGTACCTACAGTCTCTAAATGTACTATGGGAGGTAGAGCCTTCAGTTATCAGGCCTGCTCGTGGTACCTACAGTCTCTAAATGTACTATGGGAGGTAGAGCCTTCAGTTATCAAACCTGCTCGTGGTACCTACAGTCTCTAAATGTACTATGGGAGGTAGAGCCTTCAGTTATCAGGCCTGCTCGTGGTACCTACAGTCTCTAAATGTACTATGGGAGGTAGAGCCTTCAGTTATCAGGCCTGCTCGTGGTACAGTCTCTAAATGTACTATGGGAGGTAGAGCCTTCAGTTATCAAACCTGCTCGTGGTACAGTCTCTAAATGTACTATGGGAGGTAGAGCCTTCAGTTATCAAACCTGCTCGTGGTACAGTCTCTAAATGTACTATGGGAGGTAGAGCCTTCAGTTATCAGGCCTGCTTGTGGTACAGTCTCTAAATGTACTATGGGAGGTAGAGCCTTCAGTTATCAGGCCTGCTCGTGGTACAGTCTCTAAATGTACTATGGGAGGTAGAGCCTTCAGTTATCAGGCCTGCCCGTGGTACCTACAATCTGTAAACTCATTCATTACTTTACTATAACTGCATACCTTCCAGGGCAGTAGTGAGGTTGGAACAGATTCCTGATGGGTTTCTACATGTCTTCATGCAGTGAGCTCCACAAGGCTTGTAATGCCACTCACAACCACCAGGGGCATTATAGTAGTCACAGAATATAGCTGCAAGAGGAAAATATACTCATTAGTGCTCTTATTTTCAATGTTTAGAAAGCTTTGAACAAGAGAAATGGAGGTGATTTTATTGCCCAATGCTTCTCCAACTTAGATTACTCTGGTTTGATGGAAACCAAACTCACGGCATATTTTTGGAGTCCTCCATTTAACACAGGCACCAGCTTCATTACAAGTTTTAGCATAGGCAGCCACTGCTGTGCAGAAACACTCACAGTCTCCTCCAGAGTCACATGCACAAGAGTCTCTTACACAAGATTCGTAGTAAGGACCAGGATCCACCTTGAACATACAAACATGTGCTTTAAGTAGTATATCAAAGACAGAGGTTAACATTGGTTTTTAAGGCGTAAGTTGGTTTGGTCAAACTGGTCCAAATTGCATCCTCTTGGGTCATACCCTAAGAGGAGAGTAAGGACCAGTATGCTCACTGTCATCATAGTTACTTGTGAATGGCAGCTGCTGAAAGTGACACTGTTGATGATGCTACATTGTCTCTTGGCCCAGGATGCCCTGTAACCATTGGAGGCACAGGGATCTTTGATTGATTGGGCGTTTGGGCAGTTGGAGGAAACCTTCCAACTGTTACCAAACTCAAGAACGTCTGCCACTACGTCCAGGGACCGGGTGGTGAAGTCGTTCTGACTGTTGCCATCATAGTTTCCACAAAGACCGCAGACTTTGCCCTAAGAGGGAGTAATACAAAGACAGGGTGGACTTTAAGAAAAGTTAAACAAGGCCGAGAAATGTACCTGTTTGATTTCTGTTACATGATTTTAAACCCTCGGAGCATAACTATCTATTAATTTGAGCATGTCCTCACAGTATGAAAGGCAAAAGGGTCCCTCTGAAGGACATTTGTACCAGCTGTAACTGACTCTCGTCACAATTAGTGGAAAAAAACGTACATAATTTTATCTTTAAATAAAATCAAAACTAACTATGATGAGCATTCACTTTGCTCCAATGTGTGATTTAGTTGGACAACCAGCACTGTGCTGCTCTGACTTATATGCTGAGCTGACAAGCAGCAAAGGTGCTGAGGGTTGGAGTGGAGCTTCGGGGCAATTACATGGAGGACTGTAACTTTGTATATGGTTGTCAGGCTTAGTCCTCCCAAACCCCTGATCAGGAAGTTCAAAGTTACCCACAAAGTCTGTGATGCTGTTCATTGGATCTATGGTAACAGGCACCCCACCATGTTTGATGATAAGAATCTTTTATTCAATCAGTAGGAATGACTTCCCTCAGACTTAGTCCCTTTACTTTTACATTTTATTAAAGTTTTAGCCTTCTTCATGTTTGTGGATTAATCTATTGACCATATGCTCATGTTATTATTGTAACCATTTTACTACTGATTTATTCATCAGTTATTCCCATTAATTTGTAAGAAATATTCACCTGAAGTGTTTTGTTTGTGTTAGTGTGTAAAGAGTAAACAGCTCCATGATGGAGGATTATAATTTATTTAGTTTAACTTCATAAATCAACCAACAAACCTAAGTTATAAGTAAACCCTCCCTATAACTAGCTTTGTTTCCAGGAGCTCCTAAGAGATGAATGTCCCTCAGTTAAGTGAGACGCTGCCCTATCCATAAAGTCATCAACTTTTAGTGAGGGATGATATTGGCTGAAACCAGACCAAACTGTACCTGTGTAAGCCATTAAAATACAAAGCTAAGTAAAATGTAGATCACAAATATTGCTGTTTTAAATGAGAAGACAATTCGACCCTGTCTGTAAAGATGTGTCATGGTGCACAGATTTGACAAGTATTATAACTCTGCCTTGTGCTAAAGCAGGTTGTGAATCTTGACACACAGACTGGAATATTTACCTGGAACTGTGGGCTGACTTTAATGAAAAGACTGGTCTTCTGGTCCCACATGAGCACCAGTCCTGGCTTGATGGTCACCACCATGTAAATACCCATCTTGTGCATCTGTTCAGGGAACACCTTGCTGCTGCCCTTAATCACGTGGAAGTTGGCGTCTTTTAGATGGAATTCACTCTCCTGTAAGTATCAACATCAGATAAACATGAATTCACGGCGGGTTTTAATGGAAACCTTCTGCATCCAATCACTGGAGCCAACTAAGTTTAGTTTGCTTGCTTGAACCAAGTTAATTGTTATGACTTATCACAGAATTATTTGACATTGATTTCAAAAGGTAAGTGTATGATATTTGGATCCAGTGCGGACAGTGAATGAGTGTGTGTTTACCCCCAACAGGATCTTAATGGTCTTGGAGCAGGTTGTTCCCAAACTTCCACATGCAACGTTTTCTGTGATGATCTGGAGGGTATTATTACCCTGAGCCCCATTGCACATGCTCTGAATAGGGCAAAAACACAAAATGCAGGACAAGCTATATTTCTCACCAAATCAACACCTTATCTACAGTATTAACCTTTCAAATTACACATAAATGATAATGATCAACACATTGCTGCAATCATTAACCATTCAAAGTCTGACTGAAACCGTATAGAGTCCATTTTCTCAAAGTCAGACAAACACACAGCAATAATGTGGTTGGAGGTCGATTAACTCTTGCATGTTTACAACTCAATCAAACACAAGCCGGTCTAGCGGTTGTGACTATGCTCCACAGTTCCCACAACAGGCTTTTACCCGGAAGTGGAACAGCATAAATGTGAAGAAGGCAGTGGAAAGGAAAACAAGAGAATCAACACGAAAAATGGTAGAGTCAGAACCAGACGAGAAAACAGGGGATATGCTGAGTCAGCAGAAGGACTTAAACTTGTTAAAGCACTTTGATGGAATGATAACAAAAGAAAGGGGCAGGAAACTGGTAGGTTATGATCTGTCAATAAATGGATTCTCCCCAGGTGTTTGTTTACTAGGACAAGGACAGTAGTTGGATAACGTGGTCTAATGCAGTTATAAATGTAGCTGGATGGATAAAAACATACTCAATGTGAGTTTTTTGGCTGAGCTGGAAACAGAAAGTTGCTGCTAGAGGGATGTTGTTTTGACCAGTATTTGTTTTTATGTTACAGAGGTTGTCTGACATTAGTTTAAACTTTTACTGTACACCAAATGACATGCCACTTTACCTGGAGGAGTGTGTATTCACACTGTCCATTGAAGTCAAATCTCTTATCATCAAAGGTGGTGTAGTGCCCGTCGCCATAGATATCACAAACAGCATCACACACGTTGTTGGTACATATAAACTTCCTGTTCTGGCAGGTACTGAGGACACAAACAGCACATTCAAAAGTTTGATTATGTTAAAGGTATATTTCAAGGGTTAGATCACTGGCATCCTCACAAACAGTAAAAATAACTAAACCAAGAAGCTGTCAGAAAAAAACATGGAAAATACTCGTAGGTGATTGTTGCCAGCTGAGCTCATACAGTGAGTATGTCTTTGATATATTTCATTTTTTTCCAGTAAAATTAAGAAGCAGTGGCACTGACATGTTCTCAGGCTAAGCCGAGAAAAGCAGTTGTGTTACAGTTTGCAGGTCCGTGGTCCTACAAACAGTCTTAACACCTGAGATAAATGTAATGACCAACTAAGACTCAGTGGATGGAGGGCTACAATCTGGCACTGCAACACACCCATCTTCACAGAGACGGCATATACTTGGAAAAAAAGACAGTATAATGTGTACGTTATGTTCATGATTTGTATGTTAAGCCTTATACTAACCAGGTGTTGCAGTCCACAGTCAGAGTTTGTCCTGCATGGAACACCTGTCCGTTGTGCACACACGGACAGTTGTTCTCTGTCACACAGCCTCCTTGTCCGTCTGACACCAGGCCTTTAGGACACATGCAGCCTGATGTACAGCCTGTATTCACCTGGAGACAAACAGAGCCCTCTGTAAGTCTGTGAGTGTGATGTGACTCATAATAATAATGAATACACTTAAGGGCCGCCTTTGAGGACACGCGAGGACATCTTAGAGATACAACAGCAATAGAAACAGCACAATATCAGGACCTAAGTAAAACGATTTGCAATTCATAGCTTTTAGTCATGTGACCAGAGTGGAAGGGAAAAGAAAGTTGCGACCACCTTTGAGTACACTGTAGAACTGCAGAACAGGCTTTAAAATGTCCCATCTCCTCTAAATGATGCATGTTCACATCAGCTGACAACTGAATTAAAACAGAGATATTAAGATATACTGAGAGTTTCACTTGTGACTCTCAGTCCATGGAACACTATTTCAATTGCTAGATATGACAAAAGTCGTTGCCTGTGTTACATAATAAACAAATAAACAAATATAATACATATACTATAGTAGAAGTATTTTTGATATTATGAGGATATATAAACTGAACAAAGAGGCATTTGTTAGGTCACTTCAGTGATTTTTGCAGATATTTTGAAAATAATCTGTCCCCTTATGTCACTGTAGGATAAAAGTCTACAAATATACAGGCAGCTTCATGTATTTTTTGATGGGTCTCGGTCTATAATGCTGCTATAAGGGACATGAAGGACAATAAATTCTTCCTCCTCATCCAAGCATCTTAGTGCTAGTTAGCTAACATTAGCTAGTTAATGTTACCCAATGATAGTAACAGGATCCCTGACAGCTGTCACTGTCAGTCAGTGTTCTGGGGCTGTAATGTTTGTTAAAGGCAGGATGATTTAGATTAAGTTAACACAATCTTTGATGTCAGGATGAGGAGAAGTCTGTCGTTTTTTCCCTCACAGGGACAGCAGAGCGTATAACAACATTAATCCACAAATGTCCTCCTCTCTGGGTTTTCTTTCTCTGATTAAATTCTGTAGAAGCAAAACCTCAGCTTGTATCCTTGTCGGTAACATCATCAAATTCAAAAGTTTATGGTTGGGTTAGGTTTAATCAGTTGCAGCACAGTGAAGAAGGGTTACACACATTAACCCCCTAACCCTAACAGCAGAGTAGATCCTCATGATGCCTTTTGTGTGAGAAGGAAAATCAAAGAACTGTAGAATCCAAAACAATGGAGGAATAATATAAGATTGACATTTATTTGATTGTGAATGGTTTCCTTGGTGCACATGGAGTGAGTGACCAGGAAGATCATATGAGTTGTTGTTCATTATGTTTAAAACAGCAACAAAAACATTTAAAAAATCTGAAACAATCTTAAGCTTAAAATCCTACTTTAAATCTCCGGGAGCTGGTTTCCTTGAATGTTTTTAAAGGTCGTCTTAATGATCTGGAGGCAGAAATATCTGACTGTAGATGTTTTAGCTAACTCGTATTGCCCTCTTTGATCGCTTTGTTGCTGATGACTTCTGACAGATTCTAATGAATGGTTCTGTTTGTGATTCCTGTATTTATGTGTTTTATGTCTGAAACCCTGTAATTGTGCTGCTGCCTGTCTTGGCCAGGACGCTCTTGTTAATAATAATTTTATAATTTATTGATCCCGTGAGGGGAATTTTTTATTTTTTTTTAAAGAGATTTTCAATCTCAATGAGACTTTTTCCTGGTTAAATAAAGGTTAAATAAATAAAAATAAATAAAAATAAAAATGTTCTTAAAAGATTCTTAAAGAGTTGCCCCAGCATTCACTTACACAAGCCATGTCCAGGTTGTTGCAGCTCCTCTCACACTCAGTCCCAGATTCTCCAGGTTGAGCACTGGAGCAGTTAAAGTAAACCGTGGGGGAAAAGCATTTTGATGGGCCTGTGAAGAAAGAACACACCACAACAAAGATAATTATGACAAAACTCCAGAGGCCTGTGCTACCTGACAGGATTTTTTGTTATTGAAGTAACTCTGAGGTTAACATGGTATGCTAAGCCTCATTTTGCTCAAACAATAGACTATATGTTAAGATAGATGGAGCAAAAGCTGCCTGGGAGAGAAGCCAAAACATTTAGAACTCCCCCCACTGACTGGCTACTGTATAGGTCAACAAGCTCCACCTCCTCCATCTTAAAAGATGGGACATAGGTCAAACCTTTAAATCAAGGGTTTTTTACTCAAACCAGAAGTCTGTTGTGGTAGTTATTATCATGTTAGTTCATGTCCAAGTGTTCATCTTCCAGAGTAGTTTGTTTTGATCAGTTATCTGATAAAAAGGACTGTGCTCTATTCTAGGGTACAGCTAATGCGTTTCCTAACAAATAAATAAAAAACTGATAAATAATCGCTTGACAGCCCTGTTGACAGATGAGGCCCCTGCAGCGCTGTGTGTGATGGATTATTAGTGTTAGGGACCTTTGACCTTTTATCAAGGAGTTTAATGTGTGTTGGTTCAAAAAATCCTGCAGTTCCACCAGTCTGATCCCTTCTGTGCAAACCTTGGCTCAAATTTACATCACCGGCGCATTATGTCAGCCTGTTGCTGGGCTATTCTGGCATCAATTGTGTACATCGAAAGGAATCTGAAATGCACTGCTCACTATACAGTCAATGGCTCAAACGCAGAAACATCTTTGTTTTTTTTTCAAGTTGTTCATCCTGCATTTAAGCTGTGAATGTGCTGATTTTAGTCTGGAGTAGGTGTTAAACTGATATTTTTCGAATTCCATATACATACATAAAATTACATACCTTACAGACCTGGAGTCAATAAATGACTCGAGTTCAATAGTTAATCACAATAGATATCAAAGCATTTAGTAATTAGAGATATTTGTATTTGAGATATGAACGTATGTACACTAACCTCTTTGTTGCCCTCCTGAGCAGCTGAGAGTTCCATGTCTGCAGTTACTGTGAGAACAGACACATAGAACAGAGACAGTGTTCATATCATCATCATCAAGAAACAATCTTTGTCCTTCCATGGAAGAAATCAACTCTACAGTAAGTTTCATGTTCGTGTGTAAGGTCATGAATTTCTTTGTGAGACCCTGTGTTCTAAAATATCAAACAGAATACATTATTAAAGATTTATTTTTGGGGGCTTTTTGTGCCTTTAATGGCGAGACAGGACAGTGGATAGAGTCGGAAATCAGGGAGAGAGAGTGGTGAACAACATGCGGGAAAGAAGCCACAGGTGGGATGTGAACCCGGGCCGCCCGCTTGAGACGACAGCCTCCATACATGGGGGGCGCTCACTAACCACTGCGCCACCAGCGCCCCAAAAAACAGAATACATCATTAACTAAAGCATCTTCTTCCAGTGGATGTAGGCGGCAGAGGTTTTACAGGTCACTCTCTCCACAGAGTTTACACCCTGCTGGGCATAAAAAAGCTGCTTAGGAGAACTGCCATCAGGACTGCAACAGAGGCAGCAGAGAAAGTCTCCAGGTGGCTGTGGATAAAAGGGGAAGTCTGTGGTCTAATTCTTCTGGGACACAAGTCGGTGCTCAAACAACCCAGGTAGGGCCACCTGGGCAAAGGTGTATGACGTTGTGAGACCTGAACACCCCGTGAACCCAGGATACATCACTGATGATGATGACTCAACATTGACACAGGACTGGTTTTTCAATCCTGTCCCATGTCAATCATGATAGAATGACTCCTGTCCCATCCTGCTCCTGTTTAGTTTTAGTTTTTTTTAAGTATTATTACTTAATGTTTTCCATTTGGCAACTTACATTTGACAGAACTTATAATTTTTGGCTGCTGTTCCACCCCAACTGCTCTGACAGTGTGTCTCTTGAGGCCACTCGTGCCTAAGTCTCTAATGGAGCTCAGCGTAAGTTCAGACAGGAAGACTGGTTATATTCTTTCACAAATTCATTCATCCTTTCACTTCAACCTAAACTACTTCCTCTGTCTACCTGCTTTGGTGGTCAGCTGATAATGGGTGTTTATTCTTTAAGTAATTAACCAACCAGATTCGGGCACAACCTCTCTCAACCAATCATCCCGCTGCGGCAAAATGCTAAAACAGTTCTCTCTCTTCCATAGTCATTCTGTCATTTTAGGGCAACTGCTGCAAACACACACTTTACCAATACGTTCATTTGGGCAGTGGTAGCAACAGCTTAGCTGCAGAGTCAGCTCAAAAAGGAGAAAGTCATCTCCACTCGTTCACGTTGTCAGCCTCACGGGCATCGGCAGGTCACGCCAGTGCAGGAAGCAGCCTGATCATCTAGGCTATCTGCAGTCTCTGGTCATCTCCAAGCTGTCTGTCACAGTGTCCGCGCTCCAATTCATTTCCCTGTCTCATCATCAGCGCCCCTCACGATTGAGGACAGGTTGCAGTCTGCGTCAGGTTCAATTTACAGTGAAGCCACACAGCTTCTGGTCTCCGCTGCTTGGCAGCACAGGTGAGCAAACATCATCGCTGTTACCTGCGGTCTCAGGTAAATAAAAGGGGAAAACTCCCCGATACCTTTACTTGTTACGATAGAAAGGCTATCACTGTGTTTGGCACTGACTAAGTAGGCTATTATTTATAATGAACTAGGGGAATTAGGATCAAAACATATATTTATAGCCTCTATCAGCGTTGCTAATCTCATCACTGTGGTTAAATAATTTGAACTGTTTTGCGTAATTGGTTTCAATCACTGCCTGGCTCGGTGGAGCAAATCACCTGACCCTGCCATGACACACGCGCAGGTGATCAGCCTTCATACTCCGGGGAGTCAACCGGTTAACGAGCTGCAGTCGCAGCGCATAATTCTTCAGTCATAGGTTATCCTTAACAGTTTGAGAAAGACTCTGTTATTTTCATCTTACTTTTCACACTGTGTGTTCTGTCGTTCAGTCACATGGTCCAATAGGATATCACGTTTAATACAAATCAGCTAGATGGGCTGATCATTCAATCTGAATCTTTCAGTAATTTTCTCAGCGTCATGTGCACGCGTCGGGGATCGTGGCGTCCAATATCAATGCATTTTCTCTCTTCTTTTACCTGATTTACAAGAATGATTTAAATCAACGGGGGGAATAGTCAACAAGTGGCAATAAAGCGGTAGAAATCATCATACCAGGTCTGCTAAATAATAATAACATAAATCAGACCGATCAATTTCATGCTCCATTTCTTAAAGGTAGGCCTTGACAGATTTATAACAACAGAAGTCCACTCTTCTTAATGTCTCCTGAGGAAGGTTTTGAGTAATCTACATTTACTGGAGTACCAATAAATAAAGAACCTTAATTCAAAGCTCTTTAGTAAGTTACTTCTAATCATTGTACAACAGGCATAAATTGACTGTATCAGGAGTTTAAGACTTTCACGTTCACTCAGGGTAGTTCTGTGTATTGTCTTCATTTAACCAGGAAAACATCGGCCAGTCATTCTAATAATAGTTATTTTCCAGCATGTATGGCTCATTATATTATTCCTCTGCTGGCGTCTCGCTCTACAAATATGCCTTGCAATCTCTGTTTTCAACAGATGGTATTCATACTGATGTTGCACAACTAATTGAACTGTTCCTGATATGAGGTTTGGCCATAATCACATTATGAAAGTCTGAAATTATTTAAAAATTAATGAATTAATAAAAAGTTATATGTTTTAGTTAACAAACAATACTTATTACCGGGCATGCTCACATGTTAACTTGATTGTCACCGAGTTTAAAATCACCACTCTGTTATAAAATGTTCTTCAAATAGATAAGCTGAAGCCAGATCAAACTGAAAGCAGTGCTTAACAATTCATGCAAACAAGATCATCACTTAAAAATAGACTATATTAAGTGATTAAATACCTGGAAACGTCAACGTAGACAAATAATTTAACAGACTGGAAGTGATTTGCTCATTTAAACCATGTAACAGCCAGAATATCACTGTAATTCAAAAGTTTTAGTTTTAATGACAGAAAGTTGTTACTCTCTGACAGCCATCTTGCAGGCATGTAAGACGGGAGAACACTCAAATTCAGCGATGAGTTGGTGCAGGGTCATTATTCTTATTCTGTCTTCATAAGTCTTTATTCTGCTAAAGTATAAGCAAATTTAGCACCCGGAAACCTGGCATGGTATTAGAGCTGGGTATTGTCCACAACCTCACATTTCGATTTCGATTCTTTGGGTCAAGATTCGATATTGATCAATATGCTTTGATATCTATTCAACATTACACATAGGTGAGAGAAATACCGAGATAGCTACTCACAGTACCTTCTTATATTTGTTAAATAATTATGTTTATATTTGTTTAAAACAAATTGACTCAAAAAAAAATGAATTTATATTTGGATTACTCTAGAATAAAACATGAAAGTACAATATGATCTAAAGTGCAAAAATGTGCCTGACTTGAATTCACAGTGCCCCCAGTGGAGGGGGGTGGTATTACATTCAAAATTCACAGTACTCACAGTGCCCCCAAGTGGAGAGGGGTGTCATTACAACGAAAATAAATAAATAAATAAATAAAACTGCAATGCATTGATGAATCAAGTTTCTTAACCAGCTCTACATGGTATGGTGATGTTAATGTTGTAGGTTAAAGTGCCATGTGGAATTCCCACTAGGTTGTTGATGCTAACCAGATATCTAGGATTTCTGCTAACTGCTTAATGCCCCTAAACCTGTACCAGCAACTTCACGTCCAACAGCGTCACAGTTTTAATAAGATTGACAAGTGAAAACTGTAGGTGACGGTTCTATCAAGTCAAATCACTATGCTGTAGATAGGATCATAAACCAATGATCAATCAAAGTACAGTTTCATTTAGGAGCTTAAGATTTAAATTCCAACAGTTGTTGCATCAGTTACATAAAGTTTCAATGCTAAGCCGATCATCATGTTTTCTCAGGGATGTAGACATCCCTAGGTTTTGGGGGGATCTGCACTTCCAGATAGTCAGGGCAGACTACAATCCAAGCATTTATTGCAAAGCAAATATTTGAAACATGACCAGATAAGTCTGCCGTAAAATGTAATTCTGCCGTCAGTGAATTCCTTCACGGCTACCGTATGGCCTGCATATTGTACCCTGGCATTCATTCCAGGTAAATAACACCCAGTGATGAACTGAGGTCATGAGTCGGTATAAGACCAATTCATGTATATGCTTTTTTAAACATCATCCAACTTGGCCATACATACGGTCAAGTGTCAAGGTTGAGACTTACAGTTTAATGCAGCTTGTACTACATCATTGCTACATTGTCAATGTGGTTACATGTTTACATTAATGTTCATGATCATTGTGTATGGCTGTAAGATTTCGCAGCAATTGCTTCATGCATGTCCCATGTTAAGTGCTTTGGAAAATCATTTTCTGTCCTATGCTGTCTTGATCAGGAAATCCTTGTCAGCGGGCACGCATCGGTTGATTTATCCACAAAGGTCAATCAGACCCATGTCATGCTGGCCACATACCGGGTCAAACGGACCCCAGACAGGCCAAGCCACATGACTGCAACTTAAGTCATGACGGGCCACTTGTCAGGTCACGGATCCTAGACAAGCCGAGGCATATGACATCATTCAGGGCATTCATTTAGTATAGGCGCTGCACAACGGCAGTGGTTCAAGGCATCACATCCTCTTCTCTCAACAACTCGGGCGATGGTCTACCCTGCCTCAAGTCGAGTTTGGGAAACCAAAGATCCCTTAAACCCTAATTACTGGTAAGAAACTCATAACTGGTGGTGGTGAATATCGCTGTCATTTAATAGGTGACTGCTCGTAGTTTTTCTTCTAAAATCACTGGCGTCTCTATTCCGGTGCTTCAGTTGTCACAGTCAGGCTGGCCACGTGTCGGGTCAAACAGACCCCAGATACGTCGGGCCAGATGACTACATGTCAGTCAACAGACTAGTCATGCCGGGCCACATGTCAGCGGTCGACGGACCCTATGTGCCGGGCCACATGACTATAGGGCAGCTTAACGTCATGCCGGGCCACATGTCAAGCGGTCGACGGACCCCAACATGCCGGGCCACATGACTATAGGGCATATTAGCGTTATGAGGAGCCACTTGTTAGGGCAGCAGACCCATACATGCAGGCCTCATGACTATAGCTCATTAGCAGTCGTGCCGGGCCACACGTTAAGTGGTCGATGGACCGAAACGTGCCGGGCCACATGACAATAGGTCAGTCATTAGAGTCATGCCGGGCCACATGTGGGTCGACAGACCCCATACATGCCAGGCCATATCATTCCATCTAACTGTAATTTCCCACACAGATATCCATACAGCCAATAAGGTAAGGCCTATGGGAATGGTGCTTTCTTAGTCTTTTCTCACTTTTATTTTGGGGGGTATCCTATCCTGCTGTCGGCCTCATTACCCTTCCGAGTACATGAAGTCGTCACGGTGGAGTCTAATCCCCCAAAGACTTTGCACATTCAAATCTAAATTGTTGCACATTTATTGTTAAATAAATAATTGTTCATTCTCAATTTAGTCTCTCCTGATTGAAGTGTATTTGACAATGAAGAAACTGTCATTCTCGACTCTCATCAACGGTTTTTAATATGTCCAACTTGCCCCATAGCTCTGTCCGACGAATCATTGTTTTTAACTCTGCCTTTTGAACATCAGTTCTTACTGCTTTCTCTGAATCCTTTGTTGTTCAATTTAAGTGACGGCTGCTGTGCGCATATTAGCTTGCGCCATTGCACACGACATACGTCGTGCGCATTTGACAAGCAAGCAGGCACCAAAGCTGATAGAAATAATAGCCTTTATTCATTTATTTGTGTGTGCCTATAAAATTGGTATTTTGTTATCATGTTTGTGTTCCCCCCACTTCTGTTGACTTTTCTTCCTTTCCTGTCCCAATCCTGTGATAAGTAGGGAAATCCATCCTGCATTATGAAGAGAGCTACCCGCCTAAACTTCAAACTTGTTCTGTTCCAGGACTTGAACCAACGACTTTCCAGTTCCCAACCCCAACCCCAAACTGACTGCAACCTTTACCCAGAGAAACAGCTCCACACTGATGGACATATCAGAAAACAAAAGTTTTGAGCCAAATGAAGTAATATGAATTTCATTTAACATTTTCAACTTTTATTAATTTGACCCTAAGTGTACTGTCATACATTTATTTCAGTGTGATGGTGAACTTTTTCCTGAACTTCCCCTCTGGGAATCAATAAAGTATTACCCTAACTTGTACTGTTCACCAAAAACAAAGAAGTTGTGTGTTTGTTACTTCACCTCTACACGCCCAACCCTTCACATTCACACTTCATATTTACCAAATGTGGCCATTTTTCGACACAATTTGTCCAGCAGGAATAACTTCATCTTTTTCATAGCAAGGGCAGTCTTCACTGGGCACGCATGTTCCCTTGTCATTCATGTAGGTTCCCTCGGCACAGCCGCAGCCGTCCACTGAGGTGAAGCTGGCCTGGCAGGAGTGGTCCACTTGGCCCAAGAATCTGCATGTTCGGTGACAGCTGGTCATGTTGTAGTGATAGACTGTGTTCACTGGACATGTTGTGTATTGACCTGGTATAGAAGAGACAAGATGAGTTATAGAAAACTTGTTAACCAGCTATGCTTGTATCTTCTTCTTAGTGTTTTCTTTTTTGTTACATCTGAAACAAGAAGGTTCATAAAAGAGGTGATGGAAAACTGCTGATCCTGAATTTTTTGTTAGATGATATCTAAACCGTGATGAATTCTTATTAATGTGGAGCTGAATCCTCAACCAAAGCATGTTTAGGGCCTCTGGGTATTTGTATTTGTTTGAGTGTTTTTCAAATGATTATATCTTGAGTGTTGTGTTGTGTTTGAGTGTTGTGTCAAATGTTTGTATCTTTGTTTCCTGTCTTAATTGCTGTGCCGCAAACGGAGCCACTGTGATGCAAGGCAAATTTCAGACTACGTCTGACAATAAAGTATCATCTATCTAAGAAACAAAGTTGTGACACCCTTAATGAGCATTTATCTCCCAGAAGGGTCTTTTGGTCTGATTGTTACTGAGGGCAATGTGGCACCAGGTTTAGTTGGATTAATGCTTTTATGGGGTTTCTAAGCAAGGCAACAATATGTGTCAATATGTGTATGTTGTCCTTGGATTTTCAAACATGGATCTCAATTCATTATTATTATTTTGTTTTGTTTTAAACTAAACAACATGTGGTTGATAGGCAAGTGAGAGCAAACAGTGTAAGTCATTTCAAATATAGAGCCCTTGAACAGAAATGGATTTTCCTTTTGTAGAAAGCTTAGAGATTTATTGTTTCATACATTAGCCATAGAAATTAATTTCTTAGCTTCCATGTGGAAGTTTTAAGGAGCTGTCTATTTAATTTACACTGACTGTTTATAAGACCTAATACTTCATTTCCCACTTCTAAACTTCCAGTCATCCCTAAGAGTCCTGATGGTATAATGTGGGACAGTAGGAATAGGTAACAAAAATCCAATATACCCATGTAAATATGCTGTGGAGTAATGACTTCCTAACAGGGGAGTGCAGTCAAACTCCTTATGGATTTATTGTTCTGTTTCACACATGTTTTTTCACGTGAACCCCTCCCTCTATTACTGATAGACCTGCCGCCATGTGGGGGAAGAGACAAAGCCCTGCCCACTCAGGAATGCTGTGTCTAGTGACTTAATTACTGAGTGTTATCACAAGACAACTGAAGGAGAACCAACAGCCTTTCCAAACCGAAGAAAATACTTTCGATAGCCTAAAAATATGAATAGTTAACAACCAAAACAACTTTAAGATTCATGTTACTTGAAACTGATAACAGAATCTTTTTAGATGTCTATTAGCATTTGTCTGCAGCTCTCACTGCCTCACAGAAACCTGAACCTGAACAGTCGAGATCAGATTAGAAATGGATCACAACCATGTTAAATGCTCAATTGCCTCCCATGATTTCATGAATGCTGCTCTTGATTTGTAGATGTTGCATGTGATGAGCTGCTTTTTACACAACAGGTCTATCTACGACAACAGTAAACTATAAAGGTCCTTGTTCTGCTTACCACAGATGTTTTTCCTCCAGCCACTGAGATGGATTCCTGCCACTGAGCAGGCAAACACATAAGCAGAGACAGCAGTACACATGCAGTCCTCACTTTTATCACTGTTACAGCTGTCGTACATGCACATCTGTAAGGAGACATAGCAGGCATGGACAAATTAATGAGGGGAAAGTAGTTCAGTTTCTTTGTAATTACAGCCCTGTTTGCGCAGACTCACGTCTTTGTATGAGTTAGGGTCGACGGCGTGGTGGCACGGTGCAAACACTTCTTTGGGATCTATCAGCTTGTAACACCAATACCGTGCAAAGCTCTCTAAGATCCGGAAAGAAGAATAGAAATTAGGAGGTACGAAACAAAAGATACAATTAACTCTGCATTTTGGTTTCTTTAATATGAGATGATTTCATAATAACAGGAGATATGTTACCCGTGTTGATGCCCTGGTTACAGGGATGTACAAAGCTCGTAGATATGTCGGGGCAGCTGGCTTTGGTTTTCCAAGTGTTAACAAATGCAGCAGCGGTGCCCTCCACCAGACCAGAAATCCCCATGAAGTCATCATTTATTTTGTTGTTGAAGTTTCCGCACAAACCTGTTGGAACCAGTTGACATACATTTCGTTTTCCCATTTTTTAAGGACAAGATGAAGCTTCTTAATTGTACAGTAATCAAGAGGCATACCGGAAGTGGTTCCTCTGATGGATGCATCCACTGTGATGAAGACCTGCATTCTGGGGCTCAGCTGGATTACAATCCTGAGGCCCATCTTGATCTTGATGAAGATGTAGAAGGATGACTGCTTAAATGCTATGAGCTCCGCTGCAGCAGTCAGAGAACATAAAAACAACTTAATGACACAGCTTTTTGTGTTGGATTTTAGCTGTTCTACATGTTATTTTTCTGCATTTGAATGGGAATGTTTGTCTTTATATCTGTTACATGCTTTGTGTCTCCTGAGATAAGTTACTCACAGTTCAACAGCGGAAGCTCAGAGCGAATCTGGTTCATCTGAACACTCCCAGATGAATGGATTTCCATCACCTGTCATTTGGAAGAGAGGTACTGTTCAGATTTGATCAAATATGAGTCCATCAGTATTTCCAATACAACTCTTAAACTTCTTTAACCTTTCAACCCTCTCAGTGCACCATATTGGTGGTGTGTGCAGACATTTGTGTGATGTAAGCCGTTGTAGTGAGGAGCAGTCCGTTCATCTGTGAGCAGTCACTGGACAGGGACACAAATGACCAACATTTTTACTCAGTGTCATCTTTCACCCTCTTGGAGAAGATTCAGACCAGGCTGTATTATTATAGCCAATTAGGTTGTTCTGGCAGGCCGTCAACCAAATGAGGGCCTGATTATGCTGTTGATGCTGTCAGAAGGTACATATACTGTATGTTGAAACCATTACTTGGAATTGCTGCTGTTGTTTGATATGTTGTCAGATGTTATCTTTGGGCTATGTTGGATTTCAATTCTCTGTGTGCCCTGATTTGAGTCCAAACACATTTCCCTAAGGGGACAGTGTATCTTATTTTGTTATGTTATGTCATGTCTTGTCAATGGGCAGGACAGGAAATCCGCCAATCTGATGCTGAATCAGATTCTGTAAAAGTTGAAAACTCCCCAGCTATTCAGGTTACAGGCTGTAGTGTTGAGGTTCAAGCATTAGCCCTGAGTGCCCTTCCACACAATATATGCTATTGCCTTGAAGGACGTGACCTAACCCTGAGTAGTCAATGCAGACCTCCCCACATCATTCTGAATCTGCAGAGACAGTAGTATCTTCTGGATTCCACATGTGAGTGGGTCTGCATAGTTTGTGCCACACAACAACTTAACAAATGTCTACACAATGAGTATGCCACCCTCGTTGACAGAGCCCTTTCCCCTTTAAGGATCTACACCACCATATTTGAAAAACCCATTACTGAGACTGGTCCATTCTTGGATCAGACTAAAAGCTCCTTGGAAAATGAGTGAAACAGAGGCCCTTGGGCCTGTGTGCGACTGTGAGACCTGTGGTATCCCACAAATCAGTGGTGAGATGTCTGGTCATCTCAACATGTGAGGATAGATAGGGTAAATGCTGTTTTTAACCTCTGTTGTTCTTTGTTGTTTACTGTGATCACTGAGAAATTCACTGAAATTCCATTGTACAGACGTGCAATGACACTAAAGTATTCTATTCTAATTGTTTAAGTAAGTTTATCGATCTTTTCAATGGGTATCCTGAAAAATCAGAGAATTGCATATCTGTGTGGAGCTTACCATAGCATTGTTGTTTAAGGCCACAGTCACAGCTCTGAGGCAGGTTTTACTCTCTGAAGCACCACACCGTTCCAGGTTCACCAGCACCGTGAATGAAGAGCCCTTACCTTGCTGCAAAATAAATAAAACTTTATTTATAAAAATGACTTTTCAACACAGATATTTCCCAGCCTGTGCTCCTGCTGTGCAGTGGGAAAACACTGGTGTGTTTGTAGTTTTACAGTTTGTGTGTTACCATTGTTAGAACATAGGAGCAGTCTCCATGGAAGGTGTAGTCTTTGCCATCAAAGGTGCTGATGTGAGCTCCTCCCATCACAGAGCAGGTTCCTGGACAGTTTTCCTCTGTGCATTTCCACCGACCATTCATACACACACTGTCAGCACACACACAGACTTTTTGTCACTGTTTCTAGAACGCATGGAATTTTGCATATAAGTGAGTGCTGTGGATGGATGAGGGATTAATGGCCGAATAGGCTAAATTTAATAATGAGGAACTCCTAAACATCTATACAAGGATGAAATTTAAAGTATCTTCTGGAAATATTTTCATAAACTAGGAGGAGGAACATGTAACAGGTTAGGAACATGTACCTGTCCAAATCACAAAGAGCCATACGAGATGTCAACACGATAAGTTGTTAGAGTTGTCAGGAAAATGTCTGCTCCATGATTTGCTCGTGTACAGTGGTAAAAGTATTTTCCACAGAAAATTAAATATTTTAATAAATCTGAGCATAAAAGTCACTAATACAATGGGGTTGTGGTTTTATTAATTTTTTGTTGATAGATAACTTAAAATGATTCTCAGATGGAGGTCTGTGGTATAATCAGTTTAGGGGTCCTTATTGGGAAAATTAGAGATTTATTAATATAAACTTACATAAAATACATATACAAATAATGCCTACACATTTCTTGCCTATACACCACAGTCAAACAATCCACCAGTGCTAATGTGTCCCTGAGCTCCAAACATGGATGTGTCCCTTATCTGGTACTGAAAAAGTTGGCAACCCTATGTCCATCCAAATGTGAAGTAATAGCGTGGAAGGGGTAGTGACGGTTACAGCGTTTAAAATACATCAATTTTCAGACGTAAAGGAAGATGTCCAGTCTTACCAGGATCTGCAGTTGTGATAATAGGACTGTCCCGGCATGTAGACCTGCTTGTTGTGTAGACATGGACACTGATCCACTGCCACACAGCCAGTTTTACCGATGTCATCAAAGATGGTTCCTGAGGAGGGACGGAGAGATGGATATCATTATTTCTATGTTATATGTGTGATTACACACAGATTGTTTTAATGTGAGCTTAAGTGTTGAAAGTGTGTGCGTACCGTTAGGGCAGCTGCAGCCGTCATGGCAGTGTTTGTCACATGTTTTGCTGACCTGAGGTGTGGAGCACGTGTCAGGACATGAACTGCCACACTCAATAAACTCCATGTTGAATGGACATGACTTTTCTGTGGAGACAAACACTTTACTGTTTCTGTGAAATGCTAAAGAAAAGGCAAAGAACACTTTTGGCGAAAGAGCAAAAACATCCAAATGAACTGCAAACAAGTTAAATCAACTTACCACAAAAATTTGGTTTCCTCCATTGTTGGGGCGTGCCGCCTGCATGGACACACTGTCTGGAGTACTCTGAGACGGTTTTGCAGAGCATGGGGTAAGTGTTGCTCACACTGAAACATTTATCAGCCATACAGATTTTAACGAAGGCGTTGTTATCCAACAGATCTTTGCAGCTGCTGAATGGAGTGCTGGTGAACAGATTCTCACAGAAGGCCTGAAAAAAAGAGAAAACAATGAGTTAGAAAAGTCACAATGAGGCGTCTCACACACATACAAACACACACACGCGCACGCGCACACACACACACACACACACTGAGGTGCAGAGCAGCTTAAAATGAGCAGTTTGTGTTTATTTTCAAGACTTTTTCTCTTCTTTTATCCCATCTTAAAAAGACATTTCCTAAAATAAATGTTATTCATTTTCAAAAGTTCAGGAGCTGAAACACATCTTCACCACCCCTGGGACACTTAGAGCGCGGTCACACTGGCAATGTTGTCGTACCGTGATTAAGCACGATTGCTTGGTGATGAAGATCACCTCTCTGAAGTGTGCCAAAGCCAAGGAAGTGTACCGTGCCTGAGCACAGCACGGAGCGGTCACACTGGTCAAACTAATCGGACTTTAGGACTGAAGCGAGCTTAGGCACGGTACGGAGTGCCAGTGTGACCGCGCCCTCATTCCTGTAAGTGAAGGAGCTTTGAAATCTCGTTTTTTAAGAACATGGCTGCTGTTTGATGTTGTTGTAGTATGATTGGAAAAAATCTGTGAACCGTTAGTGGGTGAAAATTTCAGGAAGTTTTGAGGCTGAGCTGCATGTGTGAGAGCATCAAGTCAGGTTGTACAACCAAGCGAAGAACTGTTACGTTTACCACAAAGACTGTGGTAAAAAAAATGTCTGCAGAAGCTGTCTGCTTCTATATTTGATTCTAACACACATCTCTGGTCATGAAAAAGTCTTGTACCCCCTCTAGTTGTTTTTATGGTTTTTACTCTAATTGTAGCACTTTAAGATTGTAAATGTAAAGTGCATTATTAATCAAATGTATTATTATTATTATTAGTTGTAACCGGCTGTTTAACAGAGAGTCCAGATTTGCCTTCACTATTTATAATAGCAAATATTTTTCAAATAAATGACACAACTTAAAAAATGAAACAGAAGATGCCTGCCAACTCTTTAGCACAGATTTTAAGAAAGCCACCTCCAATGCTATCAGGCGGGGACGTTTCATTTGACTGACCCTCTGGAAGATTTTCTGGACCTTGCACTCATAAATATGTACACTGGAAATGTATACAGGAAAACATCTTTTAAATCCTGATTGTTAAAATGATGAAACAAATATTCAGTGCATAAAAAGCTCAAGGTCAGGTTTGCCTCTTTAGGTGTCTGAACATTTCGTAGACTGCATCCCCTTCATAGATTACACACCCTCCCATGCAGGGTGTCTGTTACCAGAAAGGAATACTCCCTCTACTTTTCTTAGTAGTTACACTTGGCCATCTTAAGTTCCTTTTTAACTTGGGTTTGTAGATTATTTAAAATAAGTTACACTGACTGTAAATGGCATGGAATTCAGCTGTTTGTGGTTTGTGTTCTCTGCTTCATGTCTTTTGGTTATTTGTTTCCTTTTTGGAACCAACTCAAAGTCATTTTGAAGATGCTGCATGTTAATCAACTCTCCACTATAAAGAAAAATGGAGGACGCTAATCATTTCTACAATGATGAAGATGCTGATCAGCGTAGACTCACCTTATTCCCACAGATTTGGAGCTGGGCCTGCTCTTCCACCTTACAGGTTTCCCCTGGAGTGCTCACCTTGTAGGTCTCTGCAAAGTCAGTCACTGACATTGGAGCACCTACAGAACAGAATACAATTCATTGTTACTTAGCTTAGTTTCTTAAGGTTAAGATAAACCACTTTGAATCCATAGTTGGGTCCATTTGCTGTTATTACAGAAATGATTTAGAATGTATCGTGGGAATTATATCTAAAGTAGGGCTGCAAACAGCAGCCACAGTGTGCTGCAGACACGGAACTGTCAAACAGGTTTTGAATTTGACGGCTGGTTGGTTAGTTGGTCGGTTGGCTGGCTGACTGGTTGGATGGTTGGTTTACTGGTTACTTGGTAGGCTGGTTAGGTGTTTGGCTGGTAGGTTGATTTACTGACTGGTTGTCTGGCTGGTCTGCTGGTTGGTTGTTTGGTTGGTTTGTGTACTGGCTGGCAGGCTGGTTGATTGGTTGGTTGATTGGCTGGTTGGTTAGTTGGTTGGTTGATGATTGGTTGGTTCGTTTACTGGTTACTTGGTAGGCTGGTTAGTTGATTGGCTGGTAGGTTGATTTACTGACTGGTTGTCTGGCTGGTCTGCTGGTTGGTTGTTTGGTTGGTTTGTGTACTGGCTGGCAGGCTAGTTGGTTGATTGGTTGGTTGATTGGCTGGTTGGCTGGTTGGCTGATTGGTTTGTTGATTGATTGGTTGGTTGGTTGACTGAATGGTTGGTTAGTTGGTTATTAGTTCACTGGGCTCATATCTATTCCTTGTCAGAACTTTGGATTGTTACCCAATGTTGTCGGAACATTCCTTACTCATATCTAACCCCTCATAAATCATATCCTTCTTCATTGTAAACAATGTGTTGCTATGGCAACAGCTTTAGACATTGACCTATGGGTTTAATAAAAAAGCCTGGTGAAGGTCTTAGGATTTGTTTGATGGGATTCAACTGGCAGGGTAGGAATAGTAACTGATTATTCAGAAGCAGTAACTTCCTGTTGCCAGAAGGTGGTGCTGTGACTTTTCTGATGGAATTTAGAGCAGAGGTGATTTTGTACAGCTGAGTTATAACGTCTTTAATTTTCATGGCGAGACATCATGGCAAACTATGTTCTCCCTAAGCAGCTGCATAAATCACGGGTTATTCTGGTTACACTTTAAAAAAGGGGACAACATTTCTGTTTGTTGGAGCATAACGAAGTCAATAAAGAAGTCGCAATAAGGATCAATATAAATATCCCAGTTACAGTTTAACCTCTCCATAATGCTGAGCAGGACCTTACCATTATCTACGAACCCATTGGCTATGCCATCAAAGTCTCCACAGAGTCCACACGTCTGGTTCCTGTATTTTTCATCCAT